ACGCCAGCTACAACTGTGCCATGCGAACGCCTGTTCTCACTTTCAGAAGACATTGTAAACAAGAAGTGGGCAGCATTATCTCCTGCACATGTAAACAAACTTGTTTGTCTTAGCGATTGCCTGAATAAGAAGTAGGACTGAGTGGACTTGCAGGCTTTACAATTTTACATTGTTTTATTTTTGAATGCAGGTTTTTTGTACATAATTCTATATTTGTAAGTTCAACTTTCATGATAAAGAGATTGCACTACAGTACTTATATTAGGTGAATTGAAAAATACTATTTTTTGGTTTTTTTACAGCGCAAATACTTGTAATCAAAAATGTAAAGTGAGCATTGTACATTTTGTATTCTGTGTTTGTAACGGAAATCAATATTTGAAAATGTAGAAAACATCAAAAAATATTTAAATAAATGGTATTCTATCATTAACAGTGCAATTAATTTTTTTTAAAGTGCTTGACAGCCCTAGTTTAGACTATATGAAATGCTTGTAGGATGCTGCATGTATTGATCTCGCTTATATCATCTGCAGCCCATGGTCTAAAGTTACACTGAGTGTTTGCATTGCAAACCTCTGTCCCTGTGTAGCTCACCGGACAGGAAAGCAGCCTGAATTATTGCAAAGTGCTGGTCCTGCATTCCAGGGCCCACTGAAACCAAACGAGCCGTTGTGAAATAAAGGCCAAAGACTTTGTTGATTGTCCACACACACACTCCCCCACCATGAAAAGGAGACAGGTGCTGACACTTGTTCCATCAGTTTGAACTCCAGAGGAAGGGAATAAAAATCCCTGACTAGAATAAACGTGACCAAAGTGCCGTTTGGAATTTGGAGAGGATGATACTTATAAGCTTAAGCAAGGGATCCCCAAGCTGCTTGGCGTGGGTTAGCCGTCCAGGGCAGACAGATCTTGCATATTAGAGCAGCTTCTATTATCTTATGAAACCCAAGTCTAACTCACTTGTGTGCTTGTACGTTTACCTGCTTTAACCTTGTAAGTAACATTTCTTTTCCTTAGTTAATAAATCTTTAATTAGTTTACTACAGGACCGGCTACAAGTGTTGTCTTTGGTGAGAGATCTGAGGTGCAAATGACTGGTCTTTTGGGACTGGGAGTAGCCTGAATATTGTTCTGATATTTTATGTAAAGGGACCGTCTAGCACAAAGACAGGCTTACCTGGGTGGCAAGACAGACTGGAATGTTCAAGGGGACTGTATGACTCCATGGCAAGGCCATTCTAATGCTTGAGAAATTCACACTTGTTACTTGGTTGTGAAAGGTAAGCATTGAACACAACCAGTTTGGGGTTTGTGCCCTGAAGATGGCACTCTCGGCCGTGAGCCTCTCCAGACACTGTGGCAAATGCTGTTCAAGCCTCCATACTGTGTCCCCTCAGTGCTCCAACCTGGGGTGCCTTTTACACTGCTTCATTGTGAGCATTCCCACTCCTGGTGTCCGCACACCCCGCCTCCAGCCTCTACGTTACTCCCCGCTGTGCTGCACGAGTGCGACAGCCGCCCGCTCCCGAACTGTGTTACCAAGTGACACCAGCAAATTCCCCGTCCCAGACTTGTCCCCAGAAATGTGCATCTTGTACCGCCCAGCTCTCTCCTCCTCTGGACAATGCGAGCTTACAGAAAGTCCATCCCTTCATGAATAGGAAATAATATGCACAACCCCTATTATCTCCAGTGGAGGTTCCCAAACACTTCAACCAAACACACTGGTTTAGATACAACTATTTTATTAACTACAGATATTTTTTAAGTGACTACAAGTAATGAGGCATAAAAGGTAAAACAAATACCTAACTTAACGAGCTAAGTGAATTCAAAGCAAAATGGCTCTCTCACCACATGCTTTCGCAGTCTGACTGAATCTTTCAGCCAGGATCCCTCCCCAGTCCGGTGATGCTTCCTTTGTCTTTCAAGTATTGTCAATGCCGTGAGTAGAGATGAAGGGAGAGAAGATTTGGGGGGCTCTGTTCCCCCTTTTTTTATACTTTGCCTTTCCTCTGGAAAATCATCTCCAGCTGGGGTTCGGGAGATAGGATGTCTGTGTGGACAAAAACTTCCAGCTGTTCCTTGGCCATAATGTAAATTTCTTGCTCACCCCCTTTTTCCTGCCAAAGGATGACCACTTAACCAGGTAATTGTCCATCTGACGTTGATGACACCTGGCTCCAGTGTTGGCTAGCCTTTTGTCTCTGGGGAACTGGTTTGAAGTGGTTTCCCCAGACTTGGAACATGTCTTATAGAGTAGAATCTTATAACTTTACATACAATGTTGCCACGCACATTTTACCAGGACAATAATGTTCAGCGGAATACAGGTTTTTGAATGAAACCTCACAAGGCATACTTTGTACAAAATCCATTATAGTTTTGTAGAAAGGATGAACATAGGGATACAGACTGTCACTGTGCTTCCGGTTCAAGCAGCCCAGCTCCATACGTACTTAGCCACGACAACAGGAGCCACCTCCCAGCCTGCCTGACCACAGCCTGGAGTGTTCATTGACATCAGAATTCGTCACAAGCAAACAGCTGGTTGGAGCTGTAATCACCCATCAGAACTGGAGATTTCTCCAATCCCTTCTCCTCCAGCCCCACAACCAGGCTGGAGCACTCCCTCCAGCACGTTCGCCAGCACAGCCTGGAACAAGCCAAGCAATGGAGCTGGAGAACTACTGTACATCCCTGTTCTGACAGCATAGAATCAATCAGCAACTCATCTACATTCCAGGAGAGCTCCCATGTTCTCGTCACTGACGGGGAAAAACCATCACTGCATAACCCACCAAATGAAAAACAATATTTAATTAGGACAGAGCTAGGCAAGCACACAATTAAATGTTCTATTACTATCAGTCTTACCCAGTTTAAGCCTCAGTTCAATAAGGGGCCATTAAAAAAGGCTAATCGAATAGTGAAATGTACACAGGGAAGTTACATGTTGCATTTCAATAACTGCTCCAGTGCAAGAGATCTGAGGAGAGTTCTGCCGAAACCAGCATGAAAACGAAAGGCAAATGGGAGCAAGAGGCAGGAGTCAGACAAGACCTGAATGCGAAGCCTCCCAGCTCCCTCCCGTGAGAATCGCAGCTGTAGGACTCTGCAGTTCCTCCTGGAGAGGCAGAAGCAAATGGCCAGAGAATTGAACCAGCTGCCTTTGCTAAGCAGAGGCCCAAGACTTCCCATTTTACTAGGGAGCCTGACAGTGAGGCTGCTTGAGAGGAGCCTGCACCCTGCATAAGGGGACCGTCCCCAGACGCCAGCCTGGGGGCATGGCAGACACGGGAAGGGCTGGAGGAATCCACCCAAGGGAGCCAAACAGGAATCAGAGCGATTCAGACTGCTAGCCTGCTCCCCGCAGACCACCACTCACCAAGATAAATGAGGCTTGCGCCAGCTTGTCATCTCCCCTCCTCAGGGCATCACAAGGGGATTCCAGTCCAACATAGCAGCGGCCATCGGCAGCACACGAACCAGAACATCCAACATCCTGAGTGTCCGAGAGAGAGGAGGCCTGAAAGAAAAGCGGGATGGGGCAGGGGGTCTGCTTCTCCTTAACCTTAGCAAACAGGAACCATGCCTGGTCTTCCCCGCTTCTGCTGGAGGACTCCTTGGTGGCCTGGAGTGGAAGGCTTCCCAGCCCTCTGAGGAAGAGATGCGAGTGTTGTGCCTTTTACTGAGAGTGCTCTCCGACCCACCATTGGTCAGGAGATGGAATTCAACTTCTAGATCGCTACTGCCCTGGGCAGCAACGGAACCCTCTGGTTTCCCAGGCTGCCTCCCCCGCCGTGCAAGGATGAACTGACATTGAAGACGACACACTGGATCTGTCTTTGCTGAAGAGCACATGGCAAAGTGATTCAGGGCCAGGGAGCGGCCTGGGTTGCCTGAAGTTCCCAGCAGCGCCTTACCAACCTACCACGCCATCCCAGGCCCAAGCAGAGCTGAGCTGCGCAGAGCAGTACGAGGGTGGATTTCTGGGAGGGACTGGGTGAAGCCCTGGTTTAGCCGCGGACACTTTTCCAAGCGGAGCAGGAAGTGACCTTGCGGAGAGGGGCCTTGGGCATGAGGCAGTGAAGTAGGATTTGTCGTGCATCCAACAAGGGGCTCTGAGCCAACACCGGAATCATGGACATTCGCTCCCTTTAGGTCTGCGCTGCACCTTGGAGAACCAATTCCATGAAAATCCTGCCTCAGTGGTAAATAAACCCACCGAGCCCAAGGCATCAAAACATTTCACTCCTCTCGGAGTCTGCAGACCTGAGGAGCCTCCAGATGAGTTTCTGAAACTTGCCTCCCTGTCAGGGTTTAACAGGATGGTTGTGCCATCTAGCGGCCACAAAGGAGATTCTACGCTACCTACCAGCAAGACACGAACCATGTAATTTGAACATCGTAGAATCTCATCTAACTGTAAGAAGTGCCTTTGGATCTGGCTTATCTCCTATTATTTGCTCACAGGGACAAGAGACAACCCTGCCCCCGGTCACTAAACTGCCATGTCAGGTATAAAGGCTCTGTATACCACCTGTATACTAGACACACTGCACTCAAAGCCACATAGTCCTTGTACTCTAGAGCTCACAAGTCCAGGCAGTAGCATGCAAACAGAGGAGGGCGAGGGAATGCCCGGTGAAGCCAGGGGGCTGATTGGAGGTGAGTGGCCACAGCATGACAATGCCATCTTTATGTGTGTCCCTGGGCCTGGCCTGAAGGAGAGAACTGGCAGGAGAGATGTGGTGTCAGACCAGGTTCAGGAAAGGGTTTGAGCAAGGAAGGGAGGCCAACCCAGAAATGGCAGTGAGACCCCAAAGGGAGAAGTTAGTCTGTGGCCAAGGTGGAGCGAAGTGGAGAAAGGGGAAAAACAGGGAGTATCGCAGATATGAAGAAGGGGCAGGTTTATGGGGTGAATCCGAACCACATGCCTTGGGTAGCAGGCACCAACCCCTCACCTCTGAAGAAAGCTCATACAACCAAGATGCATGGTAATAAATTTATTGTATTTTATTACATTTTCCCACTTTTTCCACTTAATTCCAATTCCTTGTATTCAAAACTCTTCTTTCTGAAAGAAAATGATCTTTTAACATAAAAATATAAATTCTGCATATTAAAAGTGCATACACCTCGAATAATAAAACATACAAATAAATAATAAAAGGCATCACAGTCTCATGCACTTGTCCTCAAATAATTTAAAAGTTTTTATGGTACAATGTTCAACCCCAAGTAAAGACAGCCTGCTTTCCAGATTACTGTACAGTTCAAAAACATTAAAATACAGAAGAGTATCAAAGGTAGGGTGATCCCCACTGCCCAGTGTCAGCGTACAGTGATATGACATGCAGCTTTTAGAACTGTAGATATTCCAGTGTAAAATCTGAAATTTGGTGACCAGAAGAGAAACTGCATTTGTAATGGGACTTAAAATTCAATTTTAACCAATGGTGAGGCACAGCTGGTGAGCAAACCTGTATACTCTGAAGGCCAAGTGTTCTAGCCATGTGTAGCCTATATCCCCTGGTGTTTAATACTACCCAAGGCTGTATAGCACCTAGAAACATTTCCATATTGCATTCCACAAATGCTGCATCCTAACACAAGCTTTCTTGAAAAGGGTTTGTGCTGCAGGACCTTAAGAGTGGAATAGAATGTATGTTTGCACCTAGTTTTAATCTGTGCCATTTAAATACTATTTGCAGGTATACTGGATGTTAGTGGCTTTTTAAAAAACCCCGCTAAGCTTTGAAAAACCAGAAAGATACTGTAGGAATCTTCATTTTACCTTTGTTCTGCAAAATAAAGCTCCCAGTGGTAACAAACGCTTTATGGTGCTTTTATTAAGAAAACCATGTAGTACTTTCATCTCACCACAGATTAAAACTAAATTTTAGTTGCCTCCACAGATAACATGAGATACTGCCAAATTATTTCAGAGTCGTAGGCAAATGACAGCAAAGATAAAGAGGATTACAGTAAAATGATTTGGAATGTCATTTCAAAACAAACGTTCTTTATAACTGCTGTTGAGCTGAGAAAAAAGGGTCCTGGAACAGATGCCACAAAGAAATGGAGGTGGTAAGGATGTCCTAGATGTGACCAGTGACTGACTGGATTGTTGGCGATGGAAAAGATGTCTGTATAAGAGGGAATATCTCCTATCGGGGTCACACTCAGTTTTCCAGAAAAATTATAAACACATTTCATTGTGGCTCTTCAGTTTTCCGTACTAAAAATGCCTAATCCCTCAAGAAGTCTTGAAACCCACCTTTGAATTAAGAGGGCACAGTCTCTTAGACCAGCTGTTCTCAACCTCCTAGGGCACCTGTACCATGCTAAGACCTCAGCCAACCCCATGATGCTCCCATTAGGCCGTGCATGCTCTACCAACCATGGAGTCTGCACTCACACAGGACTGAGGCTTGGTGGTCATAGCCTGGGGTACACAATGGATTGTAGACAGCCAGTGAACAGCAGGGCCTAGGACAAAAGCTTATCATTCAGGGAGGAACCTAAGATCCCAGTCACCAAAGCCTGCTGTGGCAACGTAGGCAACATGCCAATGGCTGGTAACCACTCCCTGAGAGACTGAAATTCTAAAAAAGCTCTTTTAGACTGTCAACACTGCTACGGGTGACCTTGTCTCACAGCATGATGTACAGAATGGGTCATTAAAACCATATAGAAAGTGGCAGGCTACATACAGAACATAACAGAGTCAGGCTATTCCGGTTCAAAATCTATAAAAAAACAGTTTGTTCTCATTTCAACACTTCAGATTCCTTTCTGACTTTACTCTACACTGCAGTCTTGTCAGTAATCCAAAATTCTGCAAAGGAAAGAGAATCAAAGATGTGCAAATAAAGCAAGAAACTAGATACATGCTCCTCTCTGGTGCTTGATACTTTCTGTGCTGACATGCAGCTGCACTGGGACTCAAAACCAGAGCCCCAAAGTCTACCTAGTAGCTTGTGATACTGACAGTGCAATCTCTAGTTTATCTTTAATGCTTGCATAGTTAATAAGTGCATGCAGTCAGGAAACAGCAAGAATTGCCATGCAAAAATGGTCTTCATTTCTTAGGAAGAATAGTTGGTCATGCTCAAATTTCTGTTGTGACAAGGAGACAGCTCTGCGTGTAGAGACTGGGGAACTTGCAGTGGGCCAAATGGACTGTAATTAAACTGGTAGTTTTCTATCTAAAGCACGTGGTTTTTGACTTAGCCATACAGATCGCGTAGAGTTTTAGAGTTAAAAGTTTGTACATCCATCCAAAGTGAGCCACCTATCACACTTACAAAGAATTGTAGGCACCAGTTTGTCTATCAAATGCAAGTAACACAAAGTACAAGGTGCCTCTATAAATACACTTCATTTAAAATGTACTTATAGTTAACATACTACTAAATACTACCCATAAAACCTTGCCCAGAAGGGTGAAAATAATTTCTTCAGATGGCTCTAGGAAGAATCTAGCTACGGAATGAAGGCTCAGCTCTTCCGCAATCAGAAGGCAAGACATCCGGATTACAAGCGAGTAACTAGAGACATTTGAATCTCCACAATTTAAGAAATAAATTCATTCACACCAGGCCCACCCAGAGATGGTTATAACCATCTATTAAGCCCTTCAAGATGACTAACTCTCTCCCGTCTCCTCTGAAGATTGTGTGGCTCTGCTGGAAGTTCAAAGACAGAGCTAACACTGGAATTCCCTACGCAAAGAACTCTCACATCTAGTAACTTTCTCTTCCAGTTTACCAGTCTCTGATCTTACAGGATTCTCACCTGTGAGCTAAACAAGCTGGAGACCAGACTCGACCCCACTAAAGGCTACACTGGCAATTCAACAAAGGCCCAAAGGCTGCACCTGACTAATAAAATGGAGCAGGATTACAGCCACTTGTCTTTAATTCAGAGCTGCAGGCATGAAGACTCCAGGACCCAGCATACAAACCCATGAGATCAGAATGGCATCCTGGGTCCTGCCATCTCCCCAGGTTGCATCTCCTCCACATTAGGTATGAGCTGCTCTGGGAGCCAAAGCTAAATTAAGTTACTGTAAACCAGGTACAGGTAACTGCTTCAGGGCAGTCCAAGACCTTTAAAGGACTAAGACATAAACCCCTGCCAGACCTGGCTTTTAGGACTTGCAAAACTCACAGCCAAAGGGACCCCGTACTGGGGTTACCCCTAATTTAGGATTGCTCTGTTGTGTTGGACAACAGCACACACCAACTGCTTCCCCTTCCTCTCATCTTGCAGGAAGGAGAAAAAGTGGATTGATGGGGAAGTGAGGGAAAGAGATTGAGATGTCCCTCCTCCCCAAATCATCTCCTCAGTGGGAAGCCTCCAAAATCATGCAGATGGCCCTAGAAAAATCTACTCCCCATAACTGGTTCAATTAGGGCTAGCAGGACAGATGCTTGGCTTAGATTCATATTCAAGGTGGTTCTTTTCTGGTCAAGCATCACATATCCCCAGAATTTCACATTCTATTTGATATCAACAGAACCCAAGGGCAGAGGATGCAGAGAAAAGCAGCGAACGACCATCACACTTTCCAGACAGTTTTGTGTTCGGGTTTCATCTGCCCATAAAGATACAGCTCCAGTTCTAGTTACTGGTAAGAGTCATGGCCATCATATTTTACTCACTTTGCCCAAAGTTGTGCACTTTATGAGACCAGCAACAGAAAACCACCGCCCTATATAAACCGAAGTGATTTGCTGTATGGCTCAGCCTGCCTAGTCAAAAATATACTGCAGCAAAAATAGATATGAAGTGCAGGCAGTCTGCCACAGGAGAACAGCATGTCACTCACTCTGAGAGATTTCGTTATTATACTCTTCCCTAGAGATGAAAATTAATGGGAAGAGGGCAATATTCTAAAAACTTCAGATGGGCGGGATTGACCAGACGTAAGTGTCCTGTGTATCATAGGTCCTGTTTTCAAAGTCGCAGATACCAACTCGCATTGGACAGTTTGCAGAAGAGGAGAGGATTTTGGAGCTAGTAGGAATTCCCAAGAGGGATTATTCGCAGACCCCAGAGAAAGATGGGAGTTACCTACCAGAACAGGGCAGTTTGGCTGTTTTTGATCTTAACTATTAGAATATTTGGCAACAATAAACTTCTTGTTCCCATTTTGGCGCTGCAGCTTCTGTCTGTAGAGCAGACTCACCACATGGTGCTGGCGCACTGGGTTAGCACTGGTCTACAGCACAGTCAGTCTCAAGACGCTGCTGCAAATTTGCTTCAATAAGGCAGTGAACACAAGCAGTAAAGCTACCACTTGGAACCCCTAAATCCACTGTCAGCTGTACGTAATACAGGACTTGCACAATGAATGAGTGCACAAGAGGGGAAAAGCTATTCCATAAGGTCACTTTGCACAATGCCACCTCACTAGAAAGTGCATCAAACTAGGCCCAGCCTATAGTGAGATGTCGGACCATGTTAGCACTGCCTACTGGAAAGGTGTTTCTGCTAGAAGAGCTGTCGCAACAAAGGAGCTAACATGGTTTGCGCTCTCAAGACGACAAAGCCTTAAACTAATGCTTCAATATCAGAAATTTTAGGTAGAAATTTACGACTAGAGGAATATGCCCAGTAACTCCTGCCTGTTTAGGAAACAGGGTACAAGAAACAAAACAATCCAGCTTCACAAATTAAAATAAATTTTCCATGCTTCTCTCCCCCTTTTTGCTCCATTAAGTGTGCTATAGGAACAGGAATGAATGGACTCTATGGCCATGTTTGGCTTTTAAAACATAATCCATGACATGGAAAGTCAGGTAGAGTACAGAGAAGTGTTACAGGCTAGAGCGCTGCTTCTGGGTATCAAGAATGCTTGTCCTGCAGAGCACATGGTCTGGACTGGATGGTGTGGGTTACACTGCACATGGGTTCGTATTCACAGGTTACACAGAGCTTTGTGGTATGCACAATCACGTATGAGGCCGTATACGCAAGTCTTGTGTATTACCAAGATGAAGCTACCCTGAAAGTAAATTTCTCAACAGCTTGTTGCAGATGAACTAAGTGTAAGTGATCAAAGAGCAGCCACAATCAGTGACCTGTGAGCAACTTGCCCAAGAGGTTCAAGAGAAGAGATTGAACTGGATATTTAACAATAACTATTTGTTCCAGGGTCATTTGTTACTGTAATACTGAGCAGGAAAGGTTAATAAATACGTCTGTCCACACACTAAGCTCACAGAGCCAGAAGTGTTCATGTGACAGGCAAAGAATTAATGTACATAATAATGTAAACTGGAGATGATTTGTGCACACAGTACAACCTGGCTATTATACACCACTTATCACAAAACACAATTCCATACATGAAGGACAGTTTGTTGTTTTCTTAAAATGAGAATGCAATTCATCATCATCATCTCATGAAATAAAAAAAGACAATGCCACATGTGTGTCAAAGGACTTGAGGGAAGAGAAGCCACCTTTCAAAGAGAAAGTGTGTGCAAAGATGTTGCCGATGTAGTGTTTTAACCCTGACAGAATTTCCCAAAGGACAAGAAACCAGACTTGTAAGACATTGTTGCAGCTGGACTCATCAGCAAGCATTAGAAACGTAGAATGAAGAGAAGAATGTGGGACTACACTATTAGTCCAAATACAACCCCGCAGCATTGTGGCCTGGCCACACAGAGATGCGTTGTAACACACTCGGAAAATGCAAAAAGGCAGCAGAGAACATGTGGTTATCTATTCACTTCTCCAGCAGATAGAGATGCCACTACAATGAAGCATCTGAGCATGTGTGTGAGAAAATGCTTCTCAGGGGTTTAACGATAAGGGTCCTACCAGCTTCACTATTATTCAAGACTCAGAATTCCAGCTGTCTTTCTAGGCATTGTAATAATCTTTCACCATGGACATTTCACAGCTAATGGCTGGCAACTGACTAGTCATTTTCTCTGTTGCTTAGGTAACACTTCAAAGGAAGAAGGAAGCTAGAGCAGACAGTGGAGTCTCCAGATATGCAACAACAAAAAATTAAGCCTGTTGGAATGAAAATATGAACCCTGTTCTGCACACACATACATGGGAGTACCTTTTGGATCTGTCCGGTCACTAATGCTAACCCTCCTATACTGGCTGAGTATATACCTGAGAAACAACATTAGTGTTGAGATATTGCCCTTTAAAAAGCTTCAAAAATGGGGGACTGGGGAGAGCACAAAGAAGCAGCAGTCTCTCTTTTCACAGTTCCCTTAGCATCTTCTGCAGCCAAGAACCAGGCCACACATCAACACAGACGGAGCCTGCTTAGACTAAAACCAATGGAATATTAGTTCACAGTTCTATAAAGCACGCTAGTTACAGTATAATGGAGTCACAGGTTTCAAACCTGGTGTCTGAAGAAAGTTGTTGCATTTTTCTATAAAGAGACTGTACAAGTGCTATGGGACAGTTGTGTTTATATTCTATGACTCCAGCTGGACTTCACTTGGTATCAATGCTGGCCAGCTGTGGCTATTTGGTTTGATGGCAGAATCAAAAGGCGCTTTACCAATTTGCAGTTAAGTTCTCCTCAAACACACATTAGGCACATAAACAAAGAAACAACAAGAACTCAGCATAAATTAGCTCTCAGCAGGAGAAAGAAAAACACCTGGATTGCAGCATCTCACTGAGGTTTCGGAGAAGGCCGTGCAGACATGTGCATGCTGGAAGGTAACTTTTTCAATGACTTGTCAGCAGCCTGTTTGTCACTGGAAGGAGACTGCGCTCCGGGGTCTAGCTGGGAAGACTTGGATTTGCGGCTGGACAGCAGAGAATGTTTGCTGGATGTGGCATCTTTTGGGACAAGCTTCGCTTTCACAGCAACCTTGGTGTTTGCATGAGAGGATGGTGGGAGGCTGCTCTTCTCTGACTTGTCTTCTGCCACATTTTTACTGCCTGGCTTGGAGGAGCCACCTGCAGTCTTTTTTGAAAGCATTGTCGTCTTCCCCAGATCAGCTGACCGTCGGGTCTCCTTCTGCCTCAGGGCTGATTTGAAGAAAGACAGCCCTTTATCTTCCGACTTACTGTCCCTCTTTAAACCTGAACGCATACTGATGCTTGGGGACCTCAGGCTGGCCATAGAGGAGCTCCGCACATGCTTGCTGTCCATTGCTCTGCTCTCGCTTCTAGGCTGGCTTATCCGAGGAGAGCTAGTTCTTGAGCTAGAATTGACACTGGTCTTATCCGAACCAAGGCTTACCTTGGAGCCCTCCCTGCTGAGGCTTCGGTCTGAAGTCCTGCTCTTCCCAGCAGAGGGCCCCCGTGTCACTGAGCCCGAAGTAGTTTTCTTGGCAGCTGTGGAGGATGGGGAAGAAACTGACTTGTGTTTCTGTTGAGCCCATGACAAAGCAGTTTCCTGGAATTTGGCACCAGATTCCTTTCTAGCCTGGCCGGAAGCAGGAGATGCATGTCGCCCACTAGTCCTGGAAGAATCTGTCTTGCTTCTGGAACGGGAAATCTTCTGAGAGGTCTTTAAAGGAGGGGCAGAGGCAGAAGAAGGGTGAGAAATTGGGGATTCTTGGCTAGACAAGACTGTCCTTCCTTTCCTCAAACTTTTATCTGGCTCAGAAATGCCTTTGGAGCTGGGAGCTTTCTTCAGGGTGCCATCTGCCTTCTCGGAGAGCAGCCCTGTCCCACTGGGGGCTTTCACCTCTTTGACTGGAGAGCTCTCTACAGAGTCACTCTGATCCACAAAAGCAATTTGATTGTTGTTATCAAAAGGGTCCAGAGCCAGATGGCTCCTGTCTGCTTGCACCGAGCTTTTCCCATACGGGTCCATGAAAGCAGAATTCGATTTCCTTGCAGTAGATTCCTCTCTGAATAACCCTTCCATGACAGCCAGAGGGGCTCTGCCCACAGTCCTATGTTCTTGCCTCCTGCTGCTGTCGCTTGATTCTGGGTAACTGCTGGAGAGATTCCTTAGGCTGCCAAAGCAGGAGGTGGACACTTTATCATCAGCAGCCTCCCCGATCTTCTCCAGTGTCGAGGCAGAAGCGCGCACAGGGGAGTCTCCAGGGAAGCGTGAAGGAGAGTTGGAGCGCATCTGCAGCTTTGCAGACAGCGACCAGGATGGCCGGACGCCATTTTCATTTACTGCCAGAGGGCTGGTGACAGAGGATCTAGAAGACAAGCTCTGACGCTGAACACTTCTTACAAAGGGTCGAGTTGAGAACCCCCCTGCAGGGGAAGAGAGCAACACTTACTTTTGTAACTCAGAAAGCTAAGCCAGCAGCACATAGAGAAATCCTGGAGAAGCAGGGTGCAGCCAGCAGCTATTGGGGTATTTGTAAAGGTGAATCTGCTAGCATTCTCTTTCCTGGGGAAATGAGAAGATCGCACCCCATGCGTGCTTTGAGCATGGCAACACGACACCAGCAGTTCTCATACTGTGGGTCAGGACCCCAAAGTGGGTAATGACCCCATTTTAATGGGGTTGCCACGGCTGGCTTAGACTTGCTGGGCCTCAGGGCCGAAGCCCAAGCCCCACCACCCGGGGCCGAAGCTGAAACCTGAGGCTTTAGCCCTGGGCGGTGGGGCTCAGGTTACAGGACCCTGCCTGGGGCTGAAGCCCTTGGTCTTTGGCTTTGGCACCCCCAGGACAGCAGAGCTCGAGTGGGCTCAGGCTTAAGCCCGCCTCCTGGGGCCATGTAGGAATTTTGTTTTCAGAAGAGGGTTGTGGTGCGATGAAGTTTGAAAACCCCTGCTCTACACTAAACTCACGTGGAGTGTAGCCTGATATTGCTCCCTACAAACATGGAAGAACTTAATTCTCAAAAAAACAAAAAACGTTTTCTAGAGGGGCTGGGCACACGCTGTGGTTTCCCCCTTACATTTTCTTCCTCTAAAAGGCCCCCTATGTTGGTTCCCACACTCCCAAAAAGGGCAGCCCATCAGTGCCACTCAGTCTCCTAGCACTCCTTGATCCACTGTCTGTTGCTCCCAGAGGCTGGGGACACTGCCTGCCTGCCTGCCTCCCGAGCTCACCCTGCTCAGCTTAGGGAGCCCACGCCCAGGGCTGTGTGCGTTCTGCTGCTATCCGAGGAGAGAGTCTGTATTGAGAGGAAACACTGGATCCACAGACCGGTTTTGATTTTATAACCCCCTGCCCACACTGTGTGCCGGAACGCTCACCATCATCTTCACTCCGTTCACCAGTCAGCTCAACTGATTCCGAAAGCGAGGCCAGAGACGTGCGTCGTGAAGAAGCTGCTGAGGCGATGCTGGGCTGTCTGCTGCCAGGAAGCCGGCTCACCCAGTGTTCACACAGAGAAGAGCTTGTAGAGCCTGCAGAGGGGTCAGGGCACTGAGATCAGACCAGCAGCATGTGGCCAATTACAGATCACACCCCCCCACCAAGGCACTGATTGATCACAACCAAATTACATTCCTACCATTAGGATTCAACTCTAACCCCCAGAAACCAGCGCTGTGCCTACATGACTGCAATGTTCTGACTAGCTGAAGCAATAAATCCACATTCACGTCCCATGGTTTGGCCCATAAAGAGAAACTCTTCCTCCAGCAGCATGTGAACTGCAGCAAGAGAGCCACTAGAGCCGAATGCAGCCCAGGCTGCCACTCAGACCCACGGCAGTGATCCTGACCCTGTCCCAGCACCCCTGTGCCTTCGCTTCTATCCGACCCCACCATGGATGGGGTCACTCCCTTCAGTTGACTGACTGGCTGCATTTGGTTGACTTAGTGAATTAAGTGAGATTCTACCAATCACAGACCAGGTTATATTTATACCATATCATTGTAATTGGATGAACAAACTAACTTCAGACTGGTTAGCTTTAAAAAAAAAAAAAAAAAAAAAAAAAAACATTTTAATTGAAGAATAATGCTCCGGCAATCTGACTGGCTGCTACATATACAAACATCCAAATCAAAATGGGCTCCAAGACTCACCTATTTACTCTTTCCCCTTCGCTTTCTCCCCTTCATATTCAACTTTCCCCTTACTATATTCTTCAACTCGCAGCCCTTCGGAGGTGATATCCCCCTCTAACCCTGCCCCACCCCAGTGCGTGCACACGTACCATTTCCCTGGAGGAGATTTTTCTTCCTTTTGTGGGAAGGAGGGGAGAAAAAAAAATCAGCCTCCCTTTGTGGCTATTAAGTCTCCTGAGATTTCTTTAAGGCCCTGCCCATATCACATCTTACCCATGATTTTGTAACCAGGCACAGCCACTTCAACCAGTTACGAACAACCCTTCAGTTTGTGGCCAGGGATCAACAGTCATGTCGCACTCCCCATCGGTACCTGGCCTGGGCCAGGGAAGCTATCGATCCAACCAGCAGCCCAAATCTGGTGATGAAACCTGGGTACAGGGCACCTGACGCACGGTGTGCACACACTTAGAAGTAGTTTGTTTGTAGGAGTGCATTCTGGGAAGAGGCTAAGCAGCCAGCCTAGAGCAGGGAGAGCATGCCTGGGGAACATGCAGGTGGAGCTGCCCCAGGGACACATGGAGCTGTCCACGTGGACTGGCCTCCTATCAAAAGGGGACTGACCAAAGCCCTGTATACACAAGATCAGCGTGCCCCAGATAAAAAACAGAGCTGAACTGGATCCAGGAAGGAAGCCCCGTGCCTCTGGCAGGGTGAAGGGACAAAGCTGAGCGCAGTAACTGAACTGGAAGCTCCCTGGGCACGGACACTAGCCGGGTTGGTTACGGTTCCCTCTGCACCGAGGAGACCAGAGTCCGGCCGTGCCAGTGCAATCTGGCCCGCAGCGTTTTTATCTCTGGGGTACAAGTGCCTGTGCATTAGCTACAGGAGCGGGTCCCCCAGAGAACAGAGCCAGTGCAAGAGCAGCCGCGGAAGAATTTCCCAGCGTCTAGAAGAGGCCTCAGTGGGAGCAAACTCAGGCCAATGCTCTAGGACGGCCAGAGCTTGGGCTGTAAGCTCTTTGGGAGCCGTCTCTATTCCTGCCTGGTCAGCACAAGCTGAAATCGTCACTAAGAACGGGCAGCCACAAGGGCTAGCGGCACAGCTAGTGAGCTACGCCAGCTCCCTGACCACTCCCACAGCAGCCCTGTGCAGCAGGGGCTGACGAGGAGTGAGACACAAGGCTGATCTGATCACTAAGCTAAAGCCCTTCCTTCAGTTCTATAAGGAAAGACCAGGTAAGTTCCTTGACCAAGCCAGCACAGCTTTACCTGCCACAGAGCTGTTAGCTGACCACGATGGGATCGTCGTGCGCCTCTGGTAGAAGAGGATATAAGCGGTCTGCTTGCAGACTTCATTTTCTGCCAGCTGCAGCACATCAGTATCATCGAAGCAGTACCACAAGCCATCTACAGAGTTCTTACAATATGCTGTGAGACAGAAGAGTGCGTTAGAGACCTCACAGCACCAGGCACCATTCACTTCATTCCTGCCAACCCAGCAGCCAAATCCACTGTATGACAAACTGCAAGCAATCTCTTCCGCTACCACAAGCTCAGTTAGACAAAGTGGAGAAGGATGGATCACAGATTTATTATCCTGGCTACCCATACTCTGAATGGCCAGCAGGAAACTTGCTGAAGACACCAGAGATGTGCATTGCCCACATGCCGGTGCCTACAGTTGCCCCATGCTGTCCAGAGAAGGGACCCCTGCTTTGGGGCAGCTCTATTTGTTTTATTGTTTGTTTGTGGCATTTTGCCTCTGTTGCTGTATTTTGTCTCTTAACTGAACCTATTCAGAACGATGCAGGACTATACCATCCAGAGAACACACACGGAAGGAATGGCATGTGTCTCATCACTGGGCTGGGAGTGCACAAGCACAGACATTGAAAGGTGTTAAATTCCTGTCTCTCGCCAGCTGTTCCTTAGAGCTACATAAGGCCACGCAAGTAGGGATCTGCTGGGATATGCACACACATAGCTGAAGCATCACCACATCACATATACAACACAAGCTCTGGTGGCAGGCGAGCACTGAACAGCATTTTGTAAGATGTAAGGAGGGTTAACTTGATCGTCCATTCTAAGGATTATGGCTTGTTAGCATTTTTATCTGCAAGAAAAGCAGTTAGGATGACTGGGAGAAACTAATTTTTGTCAGATTTGATTGTAGTTTCATCTAATGTGCAGCTCATTTCTAAAACCCTATTGGCACTCCAGACTCAGGCAAACTCCTGTCAGAGTCAAACAGGGCTCTAAGTACCTACCCAGCAGCCCTCATCATCATGTTCTCCAAGCACCTAGAGTTGGAGTCCGCTGTTTTACTGTGTTTCTAGAATTACTGGCACTAGAAGAAGCTGTGCACAGGCTGTTTGGTAGGACGTGTGAAGGGAGTTTGGGCCTACAGGGCATTGTTCCAGTTCCCTGTAAGCAGGTCACAAAAGGCCATAAAAACACACCCTATAAAATTGGACACTAAGTGGCCCCTTATTAGCAGGCTCAGGGGGGCCAAGCTAGATTCCTGCACGTTTGGGAAGGCGGCATATCAGTGAGGCTACAGAGATCCACCCTGGAAAGTGCATCAGTCTAAAGCTGCAGAGCACTTGCCTGTATAGTGCCCTCCTTGCATAGTGCCGTGGTGATTGCACACAGCATACAGGTCATAGACATAGTCCTCGGGATCCCTTCCAAGTCCGTAGGGTCGTCTCCATGGGGACCAATGAGACGGCAGACTCCAGCTACTCTGACTACGTTTGACGACGTGAGGGGTCATATCCAAGCCGGTCAGAGGGAACTTGACCATGTTTTGAAGTTTCATTCTTCGGTCTCCTTCCTGTTTAAAAGGAAATGTGTGTTACAATGGCAGGGAGGATCCAGAGCTTGAGGAGAAGAGGAATGCATGATGCAGAAGCACAGTCACACCGTAAGGGACTTCTCTCTGCAGCTCCTCTCTCCAGAGGCTACTGAGCCACCAACACAGCAGCAAGAGAAACTAGAGCAAAGTTCCAAAGCCAAAAGCGGTTATGGCAGACAGAAGAACGCACAGGATGGCAGGCAATGCCGACATGTTCTGGTGCGCAGTAAATGCGGCTTTGAACCGCAGTGTCAGTTGTGTTTGGTTTGCACAAGAACCACAACTCCAGGTGTCAATACAAGCCCATCTAGGATATTCATACTTCTAGTGAGCACAATTGGCCACTTGGGGACAGTATTCCATTGCAATGCAGCCGAAAGGCAAAGGGCTAATCAACTGCCTAGCTTCAGAGGGTCAGTAGTTTGAAAGCCCATTTTTCAGTGTTCCTTTTGGAGTCTCCCACTTCATGCACCTGTTTCTTACCTGTCTAAACCTCTTTAGATGTATGATGAGAACATCAGGTAAAGTCCATAGGCTCAGTGTAATACTCCCCTGCTGCAGCTGCTTGCAATGGGGGCAGCGCCATGCATCATCTGGAGCAAGCTAAGAACAAGGAGCATTAGCAGCTGTTAGCTGGCAAACATCTCAATTAAACCATTTACCTACAGCCATTGCTCACTTATGCGCTCAGACCCAGTGCCTCCAGACACCGGCTCCAAATACCTTCACTGTCTGGCTGGCATGCTGGCCAACCGGGGCTTCCAGCAGCACAGAGGAGCTCCCCAAATTGATGGTGCATAATAAACATGGAGGGGATGGATGCAGGAGACACTTCAGCCAGTGCAGCTGTGCAAAGCACCTACTTCTACTTCCAAACACTCCCTTCCGTGTTCTCTCTCACTCACACATAATAAATGGACAGGTCTGGCAGTATGAGAAAGCCATTTTTTGCTGAGGGCGAGAACACTCTTGCCCATGGTCTTCATGGCTCAATGGATCACAGACAAATACACAGCTGAAGTCAGTCTGGCTCATCAGGGTGTTAGTATTGTTAAAATAGGTATTGGAATTACAAGGATGTGTTTTGTGTTGAAAAACTTTATTGAATGCTTGTGAGCTGCTGCATTAATCTCACATATAACATCTGTATCCCATACTGTAAGGTAATATTTGAACATTTGTATTCTAAGCCTTTGCAACTGTGCAAATTACCAGACAGGAGAAACATTATTTATTGTCAGGTTTCAGAGTAACAGCCGTGTTAGTCTGTATTCGCAAAAAGAAAAGGAGTACTTGTGGCACCTTAGAGACTAACCAATTTATTTGAGCATAAGCTTTCGTGAGCGAAATGCTGGTCTCCCACAGAAGGGGTTCTATCCTGCTGGACAAGAAGGCCCATCAGCGCCAGATGGGCTAGAGTGAAATATCAAAGGACAAAAGACTGGTGTTTACTCTCCCCCCACATCCAATGAGGAAGAGTCTTGCAAGTGAATTCCTCCCATCAGCTCAGTTTGCAGCTCAAAGCAGAAGGGGACCATGGGTATAAAAGCCCCTAACAAGAAGGGACTGTATCTCTATGCTGTTTGGACTCGAGGGCAAGGCTTATTTGGCATAAGCAAAAGATCTGCCAGATTTAGCCCTAAAGGTCATATAAAGCTTATTTATCATAGAAGCTTTTATTATCTTTTAAAACTTAGACTAACTCATTTGTGAGTATCTATGTTCCTGCTTTAACCTTGTAAAAAACTCTTGTATCCTTTTCCTACACAAATCTTTAGATAGTTTATTATAGGATGGGCTACAAGCCTGGTTTCTGGGGGGAGATCCAAAGTGCAAGTGACCTGGGATAAGTGACTGGTCCTTTGAGACTGGAGTGTCCTGAATATTGCTGTGATACTTGGTGTAAGGGATGTTCTAACATAAAAGTCAGTTTACCAGGGTGGCAAGACAGAATTGGGAGTATCCAAGGGGACTGTCTATGACTCTGTGATTAGGTGCCTGAGGAGTTTACACTTGCCAGTTGGTTGGTGAAATCTACGTACAGAGCTCACAGCCAGTCTGGGGTTGGTCCCTGGTTCCGAACACTCCGCCCTTAGGTTGGTACTCATGCTTCTGAGCCACCGCAGAGCAGCTTGACCTTAGTTTGGGGGCTACGCTGCTTTCTATGTGTACGTACAGCCCCTGCCCAAGAAATGGGGAACCCAATTTAACGTTCTGGACTGTGCCAGCCCGTTTCATGGACAGGCATGTAGATCACATGTGCATGCATGAAAGTGACATTTGCATGTTACCCTCCTTTACAGCCCCATGTTTATCATGTACAGAACATCCCTCCCAGAAGACATGAAAAGGCTGCTCTCTGAAAGCACCTGACACCAAGCTAGCAGTCTCTCCCTCTAAAGTTCCCTAGCTTGAAGAAGTTCTTCTACAAAAGGTTAAGTACAGCATGATCTAGACGAGGGGAGTCTCCAGCCTTCCTAATAGTCTCCATCTAGCAGGGAGTGCTAAGAGAAAGAGGCAAGACCATTGGAGTGAAGGAACCGTCAGCATGCTTGCTGAGGAGGCCTGTGAGCATGGTGGCTCAGACTGAGCACTGTAGCTCCAAGGTGCACTTGTAGAGGCGTTACAGGCAGCCTGCACTGCAAGAGAAAAAAATCCTCCCGGTCTGCCTCAGAGACTTGGAAACACACAATAGCATAGTTCCGTGAGAAGAAAGAGAAGCCCACGCGGTCTCCAGACTATCGTAAAGGAGATCTGCAGAAAGCATTACCCCTTCGAAAGGCAGACGCTGCCAAGGCGGGGGAGGAGGATTTGAACCTGGGGCTCTGACACCCCAGTGAGTCCATGTCTGCAGAACAGCTACTCCAGCAAACTAGTGAATCTAGGCAGCACTGGAAGTGACTAAAGCAGCAGAGAAGATGATGGAATCCCATTCTCCTCCAGAACTTCCCGCTCCATATTTAAAGAGGCCAGGCCCTGGACTCCTACCTGTTCCTCTTTGGTGTAAAGTTGGAAACACTGAGATAAAGTGCAGGACTGAGGTTGGTGATGAAGCTCCCTCTGCTGACGGACACTTTCAGAGTCTGGGACGTACTCATCCTCCATGTTCACAAACAAACTGCATCAGGGAAACAAGGCATTTACCAGCTGTACAATACACACATCCCAACGTTACAGATGAGCCATTGCAAGGCTGGAAGTATTGCTTGCTTGATCTGTCCAATCCCATAGGTAGCCAGCCTTGGTAAGAGGCTGCTCTACAGCAATTCACTCAAAGAAAGGAAAGCAGTTTTCACTCAGCCTTGGGTCTAGATCAGATAGCAGAAAAGCCACCCCATGAATTTCCCTTAAGACCCCTCGGACATGAATGGGAGCTGTGCACATGGAGCAAATGGTTTGTGATGGAGAAGCCAGCTCGTATATTTCGGAATCCAGGCTAAACAGAAGTAGGGATCCCACCACACAGAAGCTCCCGTAGTTTAGATCCTCCTGTCTTTACAGCTACAGTTTCACCTGAACATTTCAGAAGCTGGAGATTTTATGGGATTTAACATTTTGCTGTATTTCCTATCATGCCAGGCTGTTTGCAAATATTTCCCTGCAGTTAATGCAATCATACTTACTAATCTTTAGTCTCTTTGTCCCATTCTACCACTAATTTCACATGAGCAGTTCCACCCTGTCCACATGATTTCAGTGCCCTGGAGAGAGAAGCAGACATTGTAGGGTTAGAACAGCACTGAGTCTAAAGCTCAAATCACCCTGTACTGTGTATGTGTGTATCTATATCTATACCCACTGCGCACCTTCACCCCCTGAGCTAACCTAGGAGGGCCCTATGAAGTAGGAACTCAGCTAGATCAGAGAAGCAAGTCTTTCAGCTTAGCTACTACTGCCGCTAACTGGCTGCATCGATACAGACACGGTACTCAAAAGAAAAAAAAAATCCAGCAAGAACAGCTTATCCATAAAGTCTCCATTCACAAAAATGACCAGATATGCTGGGGGATTTTCCTTTGTGCTATCAGCAGGGAATCAAATAAGGAAATGATACCAGAAACAAACTACTTGTCAATTCATGTGCTAGACACACCTCACTGTGCAAAATGGGGCAAAGAAAACAACTCAAACAGCAAGTTATGAAGCCAGCAACATGTGCGACCAGAGAAACATAGCATGAACCAGATTTTCTGTTAGCCAATTGGATTCCAGCATTTTCTCCCTTGAAAAATGGCTGATTTTGTCTGTAATCAAGACTGTCCCATGGACAAGACTGACAAGAATTTTAAAGGGTTTCTCACATCCAAAATTGGAGGCCCTAGCCACTCAGTGTACTATGGTATGTAACAGAGAAGAGTGGTGCCCACAAAACTTTGCCCCAGTGAGCTGGCCAAATTCCAATTTGGGGATCTACCTGTGGTATTTCATTATGCCTAAGGATATGATTCTGTCACAGAGGTCACAGGTTCCGTGATTTTCCAGGATCTCCGTGACTCCTTCTGGGGCAGGGCTGAAGCAGTGGCTGAGGTTTGGTCAGCATCGCTTGGGCTGGAGCAGCGGCAGTCAGCCCTGCTGCAGGAGCAGCCCCTGGGTCCAGCTGGATTGCCCCCGGGGGGGGGGGGAAGCAGACAGCCCATGCCGCAGGGAGCTGGAACAGCTGCAAGCCCCTGGCAGTGATCTATTTATCCATCCGTCCCACCCTCCTACCCTACCCCCTGCGCAGGGTATTTTTAGTAAAAGTCAGGGACAGGTCACAAGCTTCTGTGAATTTTTGTTTATTGCCCACAACCTGTCCCTGACTTTTACTAAAAATAACTATGACAGAATCTTAACCTTAATTATGCCCATCACTTCAGTATTTTATTGCTGGCCATCATATTCCCTTGGGTACAGTTTCTTGCTTCATTCCCTGTCTTAAGGATAATGCAGTAATGTCACACGCTGCTCCTATGGTTTTGTATTCCAATCTATTCTAGCTACATATGTGACTCTGCTCACACATTATCTAAGCACCTAGATGAGTGTACATTGCAATGATGGGTGAAGTGGTTCTTGAGTAAGTTCCTGAAGCATTGTGGGATGGGAGTACTAGGGAAAGGCAGATTTACTATAATATGTTCCACTCTGGGGGCAGAAACCCAATTTTAGAGATGACGTTTTAGAGCCCACAGTCCCTTCCTTGTTTTCCTTCGACACTAGCATGTTTAATGCCAGTTAACAGCCTGCAAGTTGAATTCCTCTCGCTCCTAGAGATGGTCCCATCCTTGGCACAGCTGAACAGCCCTTGCTCAATACATTATACATGGCTTGCGATGGGCAGTGGGTGGAGCCCCCTTTGGGGAGGCTAACCCCCAACTCTGCCCCTTCTGCCTGCACCCTCCCCACAGCCTGAGCCCCAAGAGCCCCTGCCTCAGCTGGAAGAGCCCCAGGCCAGCTGAAGTCCCGAGTGCCCCCACCTCGGCTGGAGGAGCCCCGGGCTGGCCGAAGCCATGCCGTGTCTCCCCACCCCGGACCCAGTCTGCCTGGGGAAAAGCGTCTGTTACAAGATGCTTTTGATATGCCCCATGCAGGTTCCAGGGCGGCTGCAGAGGTGGTATGTGCCGCCTCAGCTGCCCCGCAACCTGCATGGGGCATAATAAAGCAAAAACTTCACCGCCAAACCCCACAACCAAGGGTCTGGCAGCAACGGCAAGGGTCCCCTGGCCTATTCTATCTGCTGCCCATGTGGCTTGCAGTCATTTTACGCCGTCTGTTACCATCTCCAGTGCCGCACACCTGCCTCTCAAAGCTTCTCTCATCTTCTCTCCCCATTTATTTCCAATCACTTGCTCTCCTTCTCCACACAGTACCAAGTAGGAGTTTTCTAATGGAATTTTCTTACAACAAATATAAAATAATCCATGGCCATCCAGGTTTAGAAAGTCTGTCTGTGCTCCCACACGTAAGGCACCCGCCTCCTAAGGGCTAAGCAGCAATACTCAACTGCAACACTAGAACAAGCGGGTAGTGAACTGGGAAACACTCTGCCCCCCTGGGGGACAAGGCCGTGCTTACCGTTCCACAGTGGGGTGGCAGAGGGGTCGCTCCTCCTGAGGTAATAGGTACGTTATGCCCACAACACTAACCACCCGCAAGCTGAATGGACACACCTATGGTAAACAGGGAAAAATGTTAACTGGTTGAATGACTGAAGTTAGATTTATTCTAAGAGGCTGGTTCACTCCCTGCAAGTGCTAAGGCAGGATCTGCCCCTCTGAGTATGCATTTCACAAGAGAAAACAAGTAGATTAAGTTCTCGTGGCTACTGTGCTAAGAGTAGATGTTCCTGCACCTGGAAGCCAACGCAGGGACACTTGAAAGAGCTGAGGTTTGGGAGAATCACCAGGAACTCCTCCGTAGTGATAGGCAATGTCTCCTCTCTCCCCTCACCTGCTTGTTCTTACACAGACTTTTCCAAACAGACATGTCTACTCTAAGAGCCACCTAGCATGCTTGTGGGAGCCATGAAAACATCAACTAATGTTTCAAAGTCTTTTCGAAGGGAGATTTCTCAATTAAGAAGGTTAATGGCAGAACTACAAAACAAAGGTTGGCACCGGTTTGATCTTACAAATGACTCATTACAGCTTCAATCCTCAGATTTTTGCAATTTAAACTGTGAACAGTTTGAGGCTTATTGAGTGGGGGTGTGAGGAAAATAAGCAATCATCTCATTGAAACAATTATAAACAAAGGACTCACTGGGGCAAAAGTTCCCCAGGAATAAAGAGTTGGAAAGATCAGCTTGGGTTCTAAGCAGATCGCCAAAGTACTAAGGGGACAGGAAAATTCTCTGGCTTGCCATCTAACCTGATCTCAGCTCCTCCATCCACCTTGCGCAAAGACCAAAGACAAGCAGGGCCCGCATCAGGCTGAAGCCAAACGGCACCCAGAGCACTCTAGTGCACCTGCTCCCCTTGGCATTGCATTTCTATCGCTTGCCTCTGCTCCGCTGGAGGTGCCCAGCTCCAGGGCAATCCCTTTGGTGCTCCCCCAGAATGGGTCACACACCAAATTTCAGACATCTGCTCATCCCAATTTTGCCAAACCCAGGCTTTTTATATTGGGGGGAAATTCCAGGTATGAGACAAACATTTAGTGGCTCTACGGTTTAGACAGAAAGGCTCTGTTCTAAGGGGTGTAAAAGGCAGACGTCTCCTGTTAGCTGGTTTCAGTTATGGAAGGAAGCGTAAGACAAGAGTTCTTCTCGCATGCTGCTCTCAGAATGGCGAATAGAGCTCTTGACAGAAATCCTTTACGTGGGAGCTGACTTCATTCAGCCCCTGCCCAGGCGAGCACCTATACGTTTTCAAGGTGGTAAATAAAAGCGGGCAATTCGGCAAACGGCACACGCAGGCTGACCTTCAGACAGCACACCACCCCCCAGCAGATATTTCATGTAAGGAATATTCCATCACCACACACACAGCACCTTCGCCACTTCCAATCAACTGGATTTTCCATCAGCTTCAAGCTACGAAGAGGTGGAAATTCCAGGAGCAGAAGTGTCAGTCTATTTTACCTGAATGCAGGCCGAGGGCCGCAGAATATTCTGCATCTTCTCCAGGATTTCCTTCTGAAGGAGATCCCACACAATTGTTTTCTCCAGGTGCAACACAAAGGGCTGGCCAAACCTATCGAAGGGAGCAACGTTTTAAGAAGCCGTTAAAAGATTAGTCTTTTTGAAGGGACGATCCTGTTATTTTCCCTTTTCTCACTGCATGTCTACAACATGACACTGAACAGCATCAACCCTGCCAAAGCCTGGAGTTTCAAAGGTAAAGAGGACACACTGTATGAGATTGCCAGCACTGGCCCAATTCTGCTCCCAGCAGAGTCCAGGGCAAAGCTCACCCTCTCCTCGTTAACTCCAGTTACCGTCTCAGGAAAACACATACGGCCCAATTCTACCCTCACCCCACCTCCACTGACTTCAGTGGCGCCCAGGCCTTGGAGACCTATTGAGATCACAATCAAGCCCAGACGGATTTTGGGGAAGGGAGAGTGAACATTTAGTGGTACACCCTGGAGCACACAGGGACAAATTACAAATGTTAAGACTGTCTCAGAGGTCACATTCAAAAGGGCCTTGTCAGTTGGTTCTAGCTTCCCACCAACAAAATCCAATTTTCAAGCTGAATTACGAAGACGAGGAAGGAGGATAAACTTCTCATTATAAAATATTTCCCATTCCCACTCGAGCACCTCAGCAAGAGCAGAGAGAGCCTTGACATTTGGCAGGGAGGCACATCAGGTACGAGTGTGAACTGCACCACCCTCAAAGGACAGGCTGGCTCATCAGAGGTGATTTCAGGCCACCTGATGGGATCTAATTCCCTATGACACACACAGTTCCCATTAGCAATCACAGAAGTTGTGCCCATTTAACTGCAGACTCAACTATTAATGGTTTCAAATGAACCCAATGGCTACATCACTGAACATACGTTTTTAGTGGGCCAACGAGTCTTCAAACATCACTCTGGTCCCAACAAGAGTTCGGACTTTACACTGTGGCTCCAGAGAGGTGTCTATGTTGTCGTCTCAGTACATGGAGAGTTATAACAGAGAATCCTGGCTTTCCATGGAGGCCACAACCAGAGGTGTAGCCTGGAAGCTGGCATTTACCTTTTCCCCTGCTGTCCGGTAGATGCTCTGTTGCAGATCAGCAATACAATCTTGTCACTGGCTGCTGAGCGAGTAGAGGTTTCCTGTTTCCCTGACTTCACCGCCCCTTGTGTATAAGATGTTGTTCTGTGGTGATCAGTGCCATATTTCAAGCTATTCAGGTTATTGTTCACATGAATTCCTGGAACATTAGGGGAGAGAAGGCATTTTAAATGGTTTTCCTCTACAATTGGATCCTTGTGCCCTCCACTGACAGGGGAGTGTCAACATGCTCTCAAGAAGTCTTCTTCTAATTTAGAACAGCATGTCAGTGTAAAATCAGTGCTTCTAGATTGGGTCACTTAGATTAGATTCATTGTCGAATACTTTAATTCTATAAAAAAGTTATTTTACATACGTGATTATTTCTATACAACAGAGATACAATATAACACACACACACACACCCCCAGTATCTCACACTGGAAACCCAGTTCAATTGTTGCATAGGCACCTGTAGTTTTAGGGCAGGTCATTTTGTTTGTACATAGAAGGAGAACTGTTTGAAGGAGTAAACGAAAAAACCCTTGCTCATTTTCAAATATAAAATTTTGCTTTTGTTCTCCTACATCCCACTCTCAGATGTTTCCTCCTCTAGTTGGTGAAATCTGTATCTGCCAAATTGCCAACAGAACTCCAGCAAATCTAGCTTCTTTTGGTCTCCTTCTCTGCCTGTGCACCAGCAGCATGCAGTTCAGCTGGAAAATGCACAAACTGGCTGAAGCATATGTTAGCACCCGCTGTTGCAAAGAAGACAGGAGAAACTCAGTGCTTTCATCCTGCAGGATCTGAGTTACTCCTATTGACTTGAATAAGAGTTACCCAGACACGGAGAGAACAGGGGCCCCAAGGGCCTTAGAAAGAGAGAGGCACATTTTGTTTATTCCTGAAACATCACCAGCAATCTGATTTTCATAGCAAAATTTTAGCTTTGTGTCAGAGTTCAGGACAACTGCCACGGTCCCTTTAGCAGCCCAAAAGTTGCACCCACTCTTGTGCTTCCAGCCCTCCAGCTGTTGCCAGAGAGCGAGTGCCCTTGCGGTGCCACTAACGGGAAATACAGAGGCAGGTGCTCTGAACTGTAACACATATGATGACAGTGTATTTGGGATCTGTAACAATCTGAATTGCAGGAGTGCCAACAGCGGTAAAAGCAAGTACTGAAGAAGGAAAAGCACAGAGACAAGTGTCTCAGTCGTCATTTTGGGAAAAGAAATAGCAAAAAGACTGGCGAAAACGAATTTTGAACAGCTGAAGAAAAATGGGCCGGTTGAGTTATGCAGAGAAATGCTTTCAGAGCGGATTTGTCTAAATCAATCAATTTGTTGTACCCTAATGACCAGCTGAGGAATGATGGTTCAGGTTTGCAGAAAACCTCCAGCCTGCTGGAGGAGGATTCAGCAGATGGAGAGCCCTGCAACTATGTGCCATCCAGACCAAGCCCACCACTGCAACAGGAATGGTGAACAGCTCAATAGCTGGAGCAGGAGAAGCAGGAAACCCAACAGTTTGCAGAGCAGGAGCAGCAGTGTCTGTATGAGAGAGAAGAGGACAAGAAGCAGCACTACCAGCTCCAGACAGAGCGACTGCAACAGAAGAGCAGTCGCCCAGTAGGTGGAACCAGACCCCAGTACCTGTACTGATGGGTGGCATCCCTCGCTTTAGGGAGGGGAATGATAGGGATGTGTTCCAGCATGCTTTTGAACTGGGGTGCTAGCTGAATAAAGTGGGGGGAAGGAACATGGTAAGGTACCTTGCTCCACTGCTGTCTGGGACAAAGGCCTTGGATATCTTTACCCTTACGGGAAGCGAGGACTATAAAGATGACAGTTAACAAGCTTTGTTACAAAAGTTTAAACTGACCCCCAAAACGTATAGGAGAAGGTTTCAGGGAGTTTAGAACAAAAGGGACATGACCTATGCTGAGATTTCAACTAAAACAAGGAGTTATGCAAGGAAAGGGGGAGCAAGTTGTCGGGTGACCATGGTCAATGAGACCTACATATTAATGGGGCTGACAGCCTGAGCTCACACTGTCAGCACCGGAGCAGAAGGAAGGGCCCAGCTGTAAGCCTGTGCCCAGCTGACAGTTCAGGCTGTCAGCAGTGCATCGGAGGAGAGAGGAGGGGAGCACAGGGCTGTCTGTGTCCCACAATGCCCTACTTCAGTTGGTGGATTGGATGTGATTCTGGGGAGGACGTGCACCACCAACAGAAGGCACAAGAAGGAGCTTTAATTACTGTGGTGGCTGTGAGTCAACTTAACTTTGTATTGTAGACAAGTCTTCGGCTAGTCTCCGACAGGCAAGGACAGGCAGAGGGCAAAAATGCCTATAGCATAGCTGACTAGGGGAAGGGACATCCCATTTCCACTGCCAGTGTCCATGAGGAGTCTGGTTACATCCCCAGAGCATGCAGAGTGAAGGGCGAGGCGTGAGTGCTTGGTGCTCAGGAGAAGGGACAAGACCTACTGACCTAAAGGGAAATTAACTGGGCCCTAAAATGCAGATCAGGAAATAAAGTTCTCTGCCAGCCCCTAAAAAGGGACCCCGGGGCAGAACAGAGCCTGATGATGGCAATGTCTCCAGCCAAAAGGAGGGAGACTGAGGCAGCTGTGGTGCACTGACAAATCTACAATACCTACCCCAGTGTGGGAAATGCACAAGTACAGGGTAAGACAGCTGCTGGGGGGATAGTGAAGGATCCTGAGCCAGGTGGGAGAGGGAATTCTGCTCACCTTGACTCACTGGGGGTTACGGGGGTGGACAAAAGGAACCAATGGTGTGGGAGATCAATACTCCATCACCTGCACCCAGAGGAGCTGAGGTGGGGCCACCAGAGTCCTGGAGCCCAACTTCAGGGGAGGTGGGGCAGAGAAAGGAATCTGGCTATGGGGGAGGTTTGAAGACATTCCCTCGGCTTGACTTTTCCTGTTCAAAGCAGCGCATTGTTGACAGCCACTGCAGAACTATTTCTCTCTGTGGTCCAAAGAACGGCTGCTTGTAAAATTCCTGGGTGGTGGGAAGTGGGGAACCTCAATCCAGAACAGAAGCAACTGACCCCTTAGGGCCCCACAGAACATGACACATGCTCCCTAGAAACTGCACGAGCAGTGGGAGAATTAGGTCTCAAGTTTCCATCCAAAGGGTTTGGGGTAGCAGGGCAAGAAGGTGCTTGTGAAAGCTCAGTCCCATATGTTTAAAGAGGAAAATTATGTAGGATGCTGGTCAGACAACGCCTTACAGATTTTTGAAGGATGTTTGCTAGTTTGCTAGCAGGGCTGTTATCCGAACAGGTGAAACGTAACACAGAGAAGTAACGGCACAGCTGCCACCCAGGGAACGCCCCCACCAAGGCACTCACTCAACGTGCTCCCCTCGGAAGTCAGTCAGCACCCTCATCACACGCACTTCCGCAGGGGGAGAGATGTGGCAGACTGACAATATCCTGACTGAGCTTCAATTAATTAAGTTACACCTTACTGAATTATGGTTAATACCTCTGGGGTACACTGTATTAGAAATGCAAGTGTTTATTTACTGTCATGAGATTGTATGGACCTTCTTTAGCAGGAAGACAGGATTAATGCAATCTCTGAAAGGTACTAGGACCATCAAAGATCTTTTTGCAACGTGTGTGAAGTGAATTTCCTAGGAAGTACTTGGAGGTAAGGGGAATGCCAACCTCTTGAAGATACATTCTGAAGAGAGAGGCCCACTTTGTACCAATTACCTACTTCTGGAAATGCCAGGTCAAAGACCCCTGAACTGTATAACGTGCGAACTGAACGTGTTATGAGTGTGCTTGTTCTGAGCTGAAGCTGTGATGAACTGGAAACCCTAAGAACTCTCTTAGGGAGGGGTACTGATGGACTTGTCCTGCCACAATCCATGTAAGGCTTGGGGTTCTTAGTACACTTAAAAGCATGTCTGTAGGTTCTTTTATTGTTTTTAATAGGTTTTCCTCTGCAATGCTTTTTACCGGTAGAATAAAGTAGGCTTGATTGGGAAGTCTGTGCGGTAACATATCTGTAACAATTATACTTGTTATCCATCTCTAAAGAGAAAACATGCAGGTGTTCTTGAGCAATTTGTCCATGCTGGGAAGTATTCAGTGAAGGCAGGGACTGTGCAGCCTGGAGACACCGGGTCAGAAGGAGAGGGACACATGTCTCCATCCAAGAGAAGCAACAGCTGGGGAGCTGGACGCCTGAGCGAGTGCCCTTGCTGAACTACTAATGAGCAACACAGGTGCAGTTGCCCTGTACTGTAACAGATTGCTTGGCAGCACCGCTCCACCACAAGGTTTGGTAATGCCAGGTTCCAAGCTAAGCCGTCTATGTTTGGAATGCCAGCCCGTGGAAGCAGAGCTCAATTCAGAGTCAGCAAACCAGGAGACACTCCACGTACCGCGTTAGGCCTAGGACATATATAACCAAATGCCCCCTTTTCAAACAAATTCCCCTCAGCCAATACTCCAGTAGAGGTGGAGTTGGAGGGAAGAGGTGTTTAGAAGACCTACCCACTTACCTCTCTGACTAAGGATCCCCTCAGGCCTAAATATCTCAGGGGTCTCAAAGGCAAAAATGCAGTCGCTGTCCTGAACGGTGTCCAGGTCATCGGCATCACAGAAGGAGCGATGGAACCCATCGTAGTACATCTCAGTCAGCACAATCTACAAGGCAGAAGTGGAATAGCAGCCATTAGACCATCAGTGCCAGCCACGGCCGAGCTGCAAACTCCCAGGATGGCAAAAGAAGTTAACGAATGGACTTTCGCTGAAGCATTTTGGATGGAGGATAGGAATTCTCCAGTCTTACAGTACCAGCCAATAAGGAGAAACTGGGGAGGGTCTGGCCATGAGGGAGTAGCTGGGATCAAGGGAACAAATGCAGAGGTTTTCGTGGGACCCTTCGAGTGTCATCTTAGTAGTTTTCCCTTCAGAGTCTCAAAACCTGAGGACATTTCCCATGAGCCCCTGCTGGTTTCTCAATAGTGAGCAGAGTACACACGGGCACTCTAGGGCTGTTAGGCAGAAGCACCAGGCTTTCCCTTCCTCAGGTAACAGAGCAAAAAGGAGCAGAAGCAGCAGTGCACCTGGAGGCCTGAGCAGGGCACTGGTATAACCTACAGGCAGCCAAACGGATTCATGGGGGAGTTACACATGAGAGACAGTGCGTTCGGTCTAGTTTCTGCAGTCACCCATTTCCTCCATAAATTGAGGTCCACTGATCTGAACCCCGAGCACCCATTGTTACCTGCCACATCAACCAGAAGAACAAACAGATCGGAGGACACCAGCAGCAGCACGGCGACCGAAGATCAGCCCATTACCTGCTCAGTGGGTATCTTGGTTTCCATGGATACCGCTTCACGCAACTTGGCCACCGTTCCAAACAGAGGTACTGCCACACCGATGCGCATACAGTGCGAACACCTCCCTTGGTACACCACGGTGACATACAGAGGGCTGCAGAGAATACAGGGGAGAACTGGGATGGCTGAACATTTCTATACAGTACCTAGGAAAAAAACAGCCCGAGCTAAGCTTGGTCAGATCGACAAAGCAGGCTGCAGAACCCTGAATGGGGACTTTTACATTGCACACATCATAAGAATGCAGACCATTTCTGATCTAGTTATGACTCAATCTCCAGGCCATTTAGGGATGGGGAAACAGTGTAAGGATGTCACTCAGTCCTTGGGTTGCGACTCAAGCCTAGTTCCCACATAGAGTTCCCTAAGAGGCTGGTTGCATCATCAGTAATGAAGTCATACATGACCATTCTGGGCCACATTACCCTGGAGCTATTCAGGCAACAAGACCCACCCAGTAGATGCTTTGGAGTCCCAAATGTCTACCAGACCCTTAAATAAAGGAGGGATGGATACCTATCTTGCTCCAAGTTGGAGGTATGTTCTCTATGGTGCTAGCCTCTACTCTATGTACTAACTGGGGAGTCCTCCCAAGGAAGTGGAATCACAGAATACAGTTCCTCAATGAGGCCACCCTAGATGACCTCTTGATTGAAGGGCAATCCTAATTTTACCTCAAGGATCCTTGTAACATGGCCCAGATCAATCAAAACTGACATCCTAAAGGCACTCTCAAAGAACTGCTGCTGGGAAAACCCACTGGGTTAAAGAGAACGGGAAGAGTGGAAACATTTTTGTAGCCTCTTTTCTACAGCTGGTTGGAAGTTTTCCCCCAGAACATTTTCCCATTGGCAAAAGCCAATAGCAAAATGGCCTTTCTGCAACCAAATATTTTCTGTTTACATTTTTTAAAAAATTTTATATTCTAGAATCAAAGAAATGTAGGGCCGGAAAGGACTTTGAGAGGTCATCTAGTCCATCCCTTGCACTGAGGTAGGAACACGTCAATCTAGGTCATTCTCTGGCAGATGTTTGTCCAACCCAATGACTGGGATTCTACAGCTTCCCTAGGCAACCTATTCCAGTGCTTAACTAGCCTTATAGTTAGAAAGTTTTTCTTAATATCCAACCTAAATCTCTCTGTTGCTGCAAACTCAGCTCATTACTACTTCTCCTACACTTGGTGAAACCGGAGAACAATTAAAAAAAAAAAGTCAAAATCAGAACAAAAAACTTAATTCCAAAATTTCATTTTGGGTTAAAGTTTTGTAGGAAATTTCAATCTTTATTGTTTTCATTCTGCTTTGTATAAGAAAAGCTTTTAGATTTATGGAATTCTCTGAGAAATAAGAAATCTAGTTCCCGCACAGCTCATCTTTTCAGCATTTTTTGGGGGCTCAGAATACAGCTCTACCAGTCCATTCAATTCAACCTAATCTGCCACAAATCTTGTTGGCGTCTCAATCTCTTCTATAAAAAGATTTGCAATGCTACCAAGCATTGGGAAAGGCGCCCAAAATTTAATTTCGAGGCACAGATTAGCACATTACCGTGTATGAGGCAGAGGAATTGGTAGAGAGATGCAGAGGAAAGGGTCAAAGGTGTTACTCTGCTTCTGACAATGAGGGCACGTCAGAGAGGACCTGTTAAAAACATCAATCGGGTTAAAGTTACATCTCCCATTTAACTAGGGACAAGCAAACCATCAAGAACAAAAACAGTGACCCTGCTCTTCCCTCCTGATCAAACCCCTTCCCCCACACACTCCAGCAAGGCTCTGCGCATTTTGCTTTAAATGAAAGGCGCCTAATTCCCAGATGCTCACGCAGTAATTAGTCTCTGAGCTCATTTATTACAGGGCATGACAGGAAGACAGGCTCCTCTCTATTATTCCACTTTGCCTCCACTAAGAGACATTTGTGAAATTAACAATTCACCCATATTTGATTCTAATATAAAGAGACTGACAAGGACTATTCTCCCCCAGACACGTGGGCGAGGGGAGGTTATGCAGGCAGCACTGCATGGGCCTCAATCTCATTCACTCAGAAAGAAAGGAGACTCCTCACATGCGCAGGCACACACCCGGAGTATTTCATATCCCAAATTAACAAGCCATAAGGTCACTAAGTCTTGCTCATGATTCTGTAACATCCCAAAGGTTTATTTCTTTGCCACTGGGGAGCCTCAGTGACATACTGGGAAGACCGTTTAACAACTCAATCTCCTACACCAGACTGGCTGCAGTGCTGCTGGGAGAGTTTGGAAACTGGCCTGTTTTTTTCAACTTCAGCTCTCAGGTGGAAAACTGTGGCTGTTCCCATGAACAAAGGGGCAGTGAAGGACTAAGCGCAGAATTTCTTTTCTGCTAGAAGGCTTCCTCATTAATGATAAATTACTACAAGCTTGTTTGGGATTCTAAACTCAAACAGCCACCACATGCCTCCAGTTCATACCACAGGCTCCTGACTTGGCACAACCCAGGCAGATCTCAGACATGCGAAATTGTGTCTCACACCTTTGCACCCTGACCAGTCGGGCTGGAAACGCCATGGGGGCTTAGGTTGGGGGTGAAGGCTGAAACAAGCACTCCTGATTTACTGGCAAGAGGGAAACAAATGTACGTTTTCCACGGAAGTGACAACGAATTTTAGTGCAATAAAACTGGCCGTTACTCCCCTTTGGAGCAAGATTTCATTTACCAGAGTGAGAGACAACCACTAAGGGAGTCTGATCAAGTGGGGCATGGAGACACAGCAGCACTGTAAACAAAATGGAGGGCTGCAGAGGGTTACTTGCCTGCCACCTCTCCGCCCCGCCAGCCCCCACACCACACACAGCCCTGCTGCACTGCACCGGGCTCTGCCACCAGGGATGAAAGAATCTTATTGTGATTATAAAGACATGCACATAAACCCCATAATCCAAGTGTGCTGAAAGTTACTGTACCTGTACTGAGCTTGAAAGAGTTCCTGTACGAAAGTGCTACTGATTGGAAAGCCTGGTGCCTCGAGCAGTGCAGCATCCTCCAATGGTGGCTGAAAAGAAAAAGCAGCTCTAAAGGGAAGCCTGCCAGGATATGCAGGAGTGCCACACCAATCACATACAAGAGCCAAGTTAGGTTCTCCTGAGCTAAACATACCAGGACAAAACCAAGTATTTGAAATTGCAAGTGCTTTCAGGCCCACAGAGAGGACTAGAGCAACTGAGCAGCATCTTCGCTGGACATAGCTAGCACATCAGTAAGCTGCCAAACTTAACTGGTGGCAGAGTCAGGGGTCACCATTCACACTGGATTGTGCTGGTGCACACTTGCCATGCATTGACTGAGAAGGCTCTTTGCAGCCACAGGGGCCAGGAACAGCCCTCCGGCTACTGCATTTGTTACAGGAGAGAGATCATGGCTGGGAAGTAGGGCTGTTGATTAATCACAGTTAACCCATGTGAATAACAAAAAATTAATCGCGATTAATGACAGTTTTAATCTCACTGTTAAACAGAATACCAATTGAAATTTATTAAATATTTGTGGGTGTTTTTTTTACATTTTCAAATATATTGATTTCAATTACAACACGGAATACGAAATGTACAGTGCTCACTTTATATCATTACAAATATTTGCACTGTAAAAACGATAAATAAAATAGTATTTTTCAATTCAGCTCATACTAGTACTATATGCAATCTCTATCGTGAAAGTGCAACTTACAAATGTAGATTTTTGTTATATAAGTGCATTCAAAAACAAAACAAGTCCACTCAGTCCTTCTTCTTGTTCAGCCAATCGTTAAGACAAACAAATTTGTTTCCATTTGCAGGAGATAATGCTGCTGCCTTCTTATTTACAATGTCTCCTGAAAGTGAGAACGGGCATTCGCATGGCACTTTTGTAGCTGGCATTGCAAGGTATTTACTAAACATTCATATGCCCCTTCGTGCTTCGGCCACCATTCCAGAGGACATGCTTCCATGCTGATGATGCTCATTAAAAAAATAATGCTGTTATAAATATAAAGGGAAGGGTAACCACCTTTCTGTATACAGTGCTACAAAATCCCTCCTGGCCAGAGGCAACATCCTGTTACCTGTGAAGGGTTAAGAAACTCAGCTAACCTGGCTGGCACCTGACCCAAAGGACCAATAAGGGGACAAGATACTTTCAAATCTTGGGGGAAGGAAAGCTTTTGTTTTGTGCTCTTTGTTTACGGGGTTGTTCTCTCTTGGGACTGAGAGAGGCCAGACAGAAATCCATCTTCTCCAACCCATCCTAATCCAAGTCTCCAATATTGCAACCAGTATAGGTAAGCCAGGCAAGGCGGATTAGTTTATCTTTTGTTTTTTTATGTGAATTTTCCCTTTGTTAAGAGGGAGGTTTATTCCTGTTTTTTCTGTAACTTTAAGGTTTTGCCCAGAGGGGGGATCCTCTGTGTTTTGAATCTGAATACCCTGTAAAGTATTTTCCATCCTGATTTTAAAGAGGTGATTCTTTTACCTTTTCTTTAACTAAAATTCTTCTTTTAAGATCCTGATTGATTTTTCATTGTTCTCAAGATCCAAGGGTTTGGACCTGTGTTCACCTGTACAAATTGGTGAGGATTATCATCAAGCCTTCCCCAGGAAAGGGGGTATAGGGCTTGGGGGCATATTTTGGGGGAAGAAGTCTCCAAGTGGGCTCTTTCCCTGGTCTTTGTTTAAAATGCTTAGTGGTGGCAGCATACTGTTCAAGGACAAGGCAAAGTTTGTACCTTGGGGAAGTTTTTAACCTAAGCTGGTAAGAATAAGTTTAGGGGGTCTTTTATGCGGGTCCCCACATCTGTACCCTAGAGTTCAGAGTGGGGAAGAAACCCTGACAAATGCATTAATTAAATTTGTGACTGAACTCATCAGGGGGAGAATTGTATGTCTCCTGTTCTGTTTTTCTCGCATTCTGCCATATAGTTCATGTTATAGCAGTCTCAGATGATGACCTAGCACATGTTGTTTTAAGAACTTTCACAGCAGATTTGACAAAATACGAAGAAGTTACCAAGGTGAGATTTCTAAAGCTAGCTACAGCACTTGACCCAAGGTTTAAAAATCTGAAGTGCCTTCCAAAAATCTGAGGGGGACGAGGTGCGGAGCATGCTTTCAGAAGTCTTTAAAAGAGCAACATTCCGATACGGAAACTACAGAACCTAAACCTCCAAAAAAGAAAATCAACCTTCTGCTGGTGGCATCTGATTCAGATGATGAAAACGAACATGCACCAGTCCGTACTGCTTTGGATCGTTTTTGAGCAGAACCCGTCATCAGCACGGAGGCATGTCCTCTGGAATGGTGGTCGAAGCATGAAATACAACATGTATCTTTAGCACATCTGTCACGTAAATATCTTGCGACACCTGCTACAGCAGTGCCATGCAAACGCCTGTTCTCACTTTCAGGTGACATTATCTCCTACAAATGTAGACAAACATGTTTGTCTGAGCAATTGGCTAAACAAGAAATAGGACTAAGCGGACTTGTAGGCTCTAAAGTTTTACATTGTTTTATTTTTGAATGCAGGTTTTTTTGTACATAATTCTACATTTGTATGTTCAATTTTCATGATAAAGAGATTACACTACAGTACTTGTATTAGGTAAATTGAAAAATATTATTTCTTTTGGTTTTTACAGTGTAAATATTTGTAATCAAAAATGTAAAGTGAGCACCGTACACTTTGTATTCTGTGTTGTAACTGAAACCAATATATTTGAAAATGTAGAAAATATCCAAAAATATTTAAATAAATAGTACTCTTATTGTTTAACAGTGCAATTAATCGCGATTGATTTTTTTAATTGCTTGACAGCCATACTGGGAAGCTAATACAGAGATATTTTGTTCCAAAAGGAAAGCTTCCGTGGAACCACTACAAAAGAAATGCCCCTGCTGGCCTGTGCTGGATTTGCCTTACCTTCAGTGGAGGTCTGCCATTGTATTTCACTAAATTGTTCAGGTCTTCATGAACTCTGTCTAACAGCCAGAGCAGAAATTCCTGCGCATCATGCTGTGAGTTCCCTCGGTACTGCATGGAGTTCTTCGAGACAATGCTCTGCAGAGGAACAGCAAAGAGGCCTTCAGAACACAGTATAAGCCCAGGGACAGAACATCTGCCTTCAGGAACAGCCCTGTGATCAGAAACAGGCTCAGCTAGCCACTATATTCAGAAACATACAGCTTCCCTGTTGTCGAGGCGCAGCATTTACAGGTGGAAGGGGCAGTGGGTTCTGTGCCAAGCTTGCAGTAAGCCGAGAGCCGCAGGAGATGTGGAAGGTGCTCTCTGACCTGAAAACCGGACAGCAGGGCTAAGACAGAGGCTGCCAAGGGGCCTGGTTTCTATTTTAGACAGACATGTAAGTGATGCACTGGCTGATGCAAAGAGATCAGCACCAAAACGACCACTCTGTAGAACTAGCACTAGCTAAAAATCAGGCAGGTGCATTTTAGACCCTCTACAGTGGAGCAGCATCACGTGCAGGGAGGCTGGCACAGGGATCTCTTGGAGAAGGTGTAAAACGCCCCTGGCATGTCCCCCCCATCCCTCCCAGAACAAGAGGAAAAATCCAGCTCCATTATTAATATTCTGTTTTGAGGGACGATCTACATTCCTAGTCTAGCCAGGCCAGCAATACTCACCTGGCATGGATGGGGCACCTATACTGTAACACAGCTTTGTCAGTTCTAAACCCATGCTAGGAATCATGTCACAGCCTAAAAGGGTCTAACTTCCTGCAACACAGATGCTACTATGCACACAGTAGTACAGTTAGATCCATAGCACGCCCGGGCCATAAAATTCCCCATTATTTCAAATCGATAAACATGTCTTCACGGTGTCTCTGAGCTTGCGCAGTGTTACTGTGCACAGTTAACCAATCGCCTGTTCAATCCAGAAGTGGCTGCATTTCAGTGATAAGTGAAGTGATCTACAGGTAGGTAAATGTCAGGGCAGTTTGCAAAGTGCTTTGGAATCATTTTGGATAGGTGTTCACGACATATCTTGATTAGCTTCATACTCAACGTATGGAATCCTTAGCTTTAAGCTTTTGCTGTTAAAACGTGTCTTTGGGCTCAAGCTTGTGTCAAAGAGCCAGAAGTCAGAAGAATCACATAATCCTCCATTGAGAACACTCAACCCTTGAAGATAGCTACATAAATCCAAAATTTATCTGGATTAGCAAATAGAAATTCCAGCCACTGCTACAATCCTGGGCAAGGGGCTGCATGCCCGAAAGCACATTTACCAAGTGTTTCATCAACAAAGCGAGTGCAATTTTTCCCTTTGGTAAATATAAAGCATCAATGATCCAGTGCACAAACCTAGAATGGAGAGCATGGTTTGCCTTCATATCAGATATGTTGCTACAAACAGGACTTAGCTGTCTGCCTGGAGAGGCAAGGAACTGGGAAGTTTGCCAGAAAACTGCACATTTATCTAGCTATCAGAAAAGTACTATTTATCATACCACTACTGTCCTGGACTGAAGCCATTAAAGACAGGCTGCCATCAAGAACTACATCTCCCAAAGGAACAGCTCCAGCAGACAGCAATACCTGATGGAGTCCCTTCACCACTTCTGTAGAGCAGAAGTGATTTCAAATGCTGGTTGTTAGATTTTACTCTGAGAGCCACACATTCGGAGCGGGGGAGGCAGACATCTGGTCTTTTACCATTGTCTATACATAGGAACATCATGGCTCTGGAGCTTAGAATTGTGATTGAAAGGAGTCTCAGAGCTAAAGCGACCCTAGTATTGACAAGCTAAACTGATAATTGATATTTCAACCTGTTTTCTCTAGCTGAACACATGGTCTTTACAAGCATGTGGCAGATAACTCCTCAGACCCATGTCATCTAGCCTGGATTCTACCTCCAATATTCCCATCTACACAAAAGGCTCCTGTCTTAAGTGCTCCAAAGCCATCTCCCCGCTCCCCAAACCCATCTTCAGTAAATTCTGACAAGGCCACTCTGCCCCCGAAGCAGACTGTGCCATCACACTCCACGTTATTAATCATGTTTATCATGGTATTGCTAAGGACCTGTCAGGAATGAAGCCCCATTGTGCCAGGCACTGTACAAATACACAGTTGCAGACAGTTCCTCTCCTGAATAGACCGGACAGACAGGGTCAGGGAAGGGACAGAACACAGAAGCAGAGTAAACACTCTGATGGTAGCAAAGGGCATAACCACCACCAACCCAACAAAATACTCCCCAAAGAGACTGCAGGTGGTGATGAGAGAGAGAGAAACGCGCACACACACAGCACCGCTGGAGCAGGGATTGAGAGAGACTCGACTCTCTGGAGAGGGATTTCCACACCAGGGAAAGCTGTAACACAGGAGCTACACTGGCTACTTGTCGGGAGCCAGAGGAATGAACCTAATTTACATCCGAGTTCCCAGAAACGTATTCGAAGCATGTGCACGCACCCAGGATATCTGCCCAGACTTGATTCTTCCTGGACATAAACAGGAATTGCTTCTTGGAGTTTACGAGCTGTGAAAACCTGCAGTTCAGCTTCAACACCGCTGCAGTTTCAGGGATTGTGCTGGCCAGACTGCTGCTTACAATGCTGCTGCCTGTCTTTAGCCATCCTGCCACACAACATCCAGGCCCCAAACCAAACTGACCAGAGATCGAGAGACCCGAAAATGCCAAATATTGCTGGAGCAGCTTTGCCCAGCTTTTGCTAATGACTCCTGGCCAATAATGGGAAATCGGATATGGCGTGACAGGTGGAGAGATCAGCCATGTCGAGAGGGGGCTTACTGAGCAACAGCAACCGCCATTTCCTCAGCGTCATGGACCTGTCGAGTAAGTCGCCTGGGAAAGCGGCCCAGCACCTTCCTTCGGCCTGTCATTAGCCAGAAGGGACTCACATCTAAACTCCAGCGGTCACAGGGCAAAACCGTTCCTGTGTCTTAGTCTCAGCAATTGTATCCAGAAAATAATTGTCAGATTCCTCATTGAGCAAGGCTCAACTGCCAGGGTGATCTGAAAACTACTGTGAAGAAATTGAAAAATAGTTCTCTTTCCATACCAGGCATGTGACAGGACAAGCTTTCCCAATGCAACCGTTGCCAGTCCAGTAACAAAATATTGTAACAAAATATTCCTGCAGGACCAGGAACAAGAAAATGGGGCTGTAAGAGCAGCACAATCAGCAATAACGGCATAACCAACCCAGGGGATTGCTGGAAGAGACCAGACATTCTGCACACACGCTCATGTTCTCAAGCCTCCCCTTCTCTAATCAGACTTTACAACAGATTTGTGAAAGGAGGTTGGGCTACTTATGTTATCCCTCTTGGAAATGGAGTCACCACTGGGGAGGGAAATGGGCCAATCAATATTTATTCTAATTCCTCAGTAATCTGCCCACTTGCCCCGAAGCAGCAAATGAGAGGAAGTGGAAGCTAAGGCCTATAATCTGCTCTCAATACAGATGTGCAATTCCCACTGACATTAGTGGATTTACTGCTCATGCCTGCACAGGGACTAGTGTCTTCCCACCTGCAAAGTCTTGTATACACCTGAGACCCATTATCCTCCTCATCCACCCCCACAAACCAAAGGGTTGCCATACAGAGAGTCATAGCTTGCAGACATTTTAAACCTAGTCGACTCTGTCAGGAATGGCAGGGGAACCTGTGGATCTACAGTCCCGGAAAGCCTCACGGAAAGGACAGTGTCCTGACAGAGAACACACAGTACTAACAGAGCCCTTTGCATACTGTATCAGAAACAGGCAATGTAATAGCATTCACAAGCAGGCAGCACTGAACTGGGCCAGAGGTATTTGCAGAACATTGTAGTTTTAAACCACATAGCCCAGCAACTGGCAAGAATGCGGCTGAAGCAGAGATGAAGGAAGAGCAAAGTTATGAGGGTCCATCAGTAGCCAACATCCTGGCTCTGTAGAAGCATTTGATTCAGAAGCTCTTGGACATGATTAGAGGATTATCTCCACCCCACCCCCTCATTCATCTTCTATATATTTACACTAGTATGTTGGCCTGCTCTCTGATCACTTCACCACCATCTTTTTAAGAATAAGGCTATGTCTACTCTGCATCATTTACAAGGGCTCACTTGAAGCGCTACAGTGGTGCAGCTGAAGCCAGTGGGGGAGAGCTCTGTATGTGCAAGTGCTTACCCACGCAGCTGTTGTAGATACTGGTTCATTGAGGCTGGATTCTTCCCTGCCACTTTAAACATTATGCTTCAACGGGAGGAAGTTAGAACAGGGAGGTCCCTCTCCCATCTCTGAGTTCTCTCAAGTACATTTAATGGAGTGAATCTTTACAACATGGCAAATGAGGACAGACCTTGGCTTGCAGCCAGTACCAACAGCATTAATATCCAGCACTCGTACTTTCAATGGATATCAGCAATACGAGGGAAACAAGCAAAGACTAACTTGCTGTAAACATTCAGACCCCATTTTAACTAATATCCAGGGGATACCTCACACCCTCTTTTTGGTTTCAGAGGAGTCTACCAGCAGGGAAACAAGGAGGCAACATTGGTGAGATTTCATGGTATGTGGAAAGCAAACTCCAAACCTCCCAGAAAGGCAGAAAATAAGGATTCAGGCCCTCCACGCTTCCCTTCCAGCAGGAACATCTAGTTAATTATGGTAATTTTACCCATTGGTAATATTTAATATAGAGAATCTAGGCGACAATCACAGATTTGCAATTCTCTCTCTCAGATCACTTCCCTGCCAAATCCCCTGTACACATCCATCAAGTGTTATCCAGGACAAGATAGTAATTCCTGACATATAGGACAAAATATTTGGAAGTTATACTAAAAACTCAATGGGCACAAGCAGGAGTAGCCTTTAAGATGCGACCTTGTCATTTTTATATTTGTTTAGCTTATAGCTGCTCTCACAATATCAGATGGGAGCAAACAGCTGGAAAGCCTAAAGTGGACAGTGTTTGGCTTCTTGTTAACCAATGTAGTGCAACATAAGCTTTTTTTATGCTGATTTGGTGAATCCAATGACAGGGGGAAAAAACCACCAGTTTTGGGGAATT